AAGAGTTCTGCCTAACTCCCAAAACTAAAGGAGATGACAGCACTTGGCGGTAAATTGGGGGAGCGGACGGGGGGGGGGCGCAGGAAGTGGCCTGCCCTTGAAAAGAGGGTGGGAATGGGAAAACCTCAGCCACACACTTCAAGTGGACCTGATCCCAAAGGATACTTTAAGGCCTCTCCCTCACCATTCCTCCTTATCCACTCAGCCCTAGCCCCCCCTCTGGGGCTGAAGTACTCCATTCCCACCCACCCTCTTAGCGGGAAGGGGTGGGACAGCATGACATTTTGTTTCTCAGAAAAAGTTCAGGTCAAATTTCAAGGACAAAAGTTAGCACTTGGTCTGGGAAAGAAAACTCTGCCAAATGGAGTAAATTGGGGGTGGGGAGGGAGGTCCAGTGCTCTCGTTCCAGGTGCCTCGGGTGCGGGCAAGAATTAGAGCTCTAATTCCCCCTGCCGGGATCTGTCTGGCAAGATACAGGCACCTCCACCCCACAATCCAGGAGAAGAAACTCAGACAACCCCCTCCATTTCCCTCTGTCCAAAAACAGAGGGAGTGGGCTTTGATACTAGTCTGTGGGATCCATCCACCATGCCGCCCCACCCACCAGATTTGGCCTGAGCAGAAGAGGGCGGTGCAGCGAGGGCTCTGCAGCCCAGAGATGTGGCCCTAACCGCTAAGAGAGGGACGGGTAGCCAGCCTGGTGTTGCCATGGCAACTTCCTCCTGTGCGGGATCGAAGCATCCTATGGGCAAATCAGAGCTGGCTGCTCCAGCTTTCAGCCCTTCTCCCAGACCAGTGAGAATTGGATGCTGAAACCACTTGGTCAGACCAGGGACACCATCCTCAATTCCAGACCCTGATGCTAACAACCCCCTTTGGCATTTGTTGGAAAGTGGAGACACCCTTGCTCCCCAGCCGTGCCCCAGTGCACAGTAGCAGGGCTAGGACTATAGATGTGATGAAAATTAACTGTTCAGGAAGAATAGGGAAACAGGGAGTTGGACTGCTCTCCACCCTCTTGTTCCACATGCAAGCCCCCCAAATCCCCATCTTTAAACCACCGCCAAAAAAGAGCGCCCAACGGTGCCTTAATAGCTACAACAATGCAACAAAATTAGCTTATAAAAATTATAAAAGCTAACATTTTGAGAATCCCTCAGATTCTTTTTCACAGTCATGCTCAAAAACAAGTCTTATTTGATAATTAGATAATAGCTAACAGGTACTGAGAGCCTACCTGGTGCCAGATACAGTACTAAGCCCTTTGCAGATCACAAACAATATAATAATCAAAAGCATGTACGTTTCAGTCAGATTGCTCAAGTTCAAATCCTAATTCCCTCACTTCCTGGCTGAGTGACCTTGAACAAATACTCTCTGTGCCTCAATTTTCTTATCTGAAAATGGGGATGTTAAATGTTAATTTTATAGGGTTGCTATGAGGAAAGAATTAAAATAAAATATTTAAAGTACCTAGGAGGATGCCTTTCGAAAGGTAATCACTTTTAGGGGGCGCCTGGGTGGCTCAGTTGGTTGAGCGACTGCCTTCGGCTCGGGTCATGATCCTGGAGTCCTGGGATCGAGTCCCATGTCGGGCTCCCTGCTCAGCGGGGAGTCTGCTTCTCTCTCTGATCCTCCTCCCTCTCATGCTCTCTGTCTCTCATTCTCTCTCTCTCAAGTAAATAAATAAAATCTTTAAAAAAAAAAAAAAAAAGAAAGGTAATCACTTTTAAAATGTTGACCCTATGCGGTCCATGCTATTATTTTCTTCCTCATCCACATGAAAAAGCTGAGGTCATGTACCTAACTCCCCAATTACAAACCCAGTGCCAGCAAGACTGAGCAATGATGACACCTACACAATAATGCCCCCAGGTCCTGTCTCTCTAAAGCCCCAGCATCTTCGGAAAAGGGACAAAAGCAGCATAACAAATGAGTCCAGAGTGCAAAGAGAAGGAAGATGCTCCTTGGGAGGAATTCTAGGATCCTACAATGACCAGCATCCTGAGCCTCAGGGTGGCTAGAACAGGGTGGGAGGAAGGAGCAGCTTCCTATGCCCACAAAACGTCCAAGGCTCCCAAGCCCGATACAGGAAAGTACTCTGGCCCAGTTAAGACTAATGAGATAGGCTTCTCCTCACACAGTTTCTCAGGAAACCAGCCGAAGGGGCAGGTAAAGCCCACACAGGGCTCTGGCTCGACCTGGGTGATGGACAAGATGCATTCCACAGGCTTTGGAAGCAGCATCAAAGAGGAGGCACCTAGATGAGCCAGAAGCTGTCGGGGACACACCTCTGAGCCATCAGACAGCCTGGCATTAACAGGCCAGGGGAGGGATCAGGGAAGAGGAAGGTGGAGCGAAGCCAGGTCTAGCAGCCCTCCTACAGATGCAGTCTCTGTCCAGTATGTGACAGATCATTCAAACTGCTTTTAGAAATTAGTTCAGCACGGTGCTGTGGTGCTGTTCTAAAAGAATAAATCCGAAAGGCTTTTTTTTAGGAGAAAATTAATGACTTTGAGAAGAACAAGAGAAAGTAAGCACCAAGACAGTGTTTCCTACTTCCGATTTTTACCAGACACTCATTAGTCTCCCGGAAATGAAACTTGACGATCTCCCTCCCCCTCCCAAACTCGAAGCATCCCTTAAGATGAGCAGACAATGAGCACAAGATGCCCAAACCAAACTCTTGGCTGTCAGCCGTTCCCTGGGGCCCCCTCACCTGGGAACTATTTTCCACAGTCAGATTTGGCTTTTCAAAAAATCCTCTTTTAGACAGAAGGCTAGTAGTTTACTGGAAAACGAACCAGAAAACTGATTTTAGTCTCAGCTCTGTGCCTACCTCATTGGGTGACCTTGGGTTACACACACACACACACATGCACACACACTCATCCATTTGAGGGCAAAAAGGGGTTGGACAGGATGATTTCTAGGTCTCTCCCAAGTGCAAAACAAAAATTTGAAGAAACTTGCTGGAAAAAACATCAGGTGGATCTTTTTAAAAAATCTCTACTATTACATGAAGTTCTCTATTCTGACTTCAGTGAAATCAGAGCAAGTTGCCTGCAACCAGCAATGATAACCAAGGCATCGGATCCAGGACATGGAGCATGACTTAGGAGAAAAAAACCTAACTGCCCCTGCTCCTACGAACCCATGCTCCTGCCCCACCCACCTCTTGAGACCCAAGTGGCCTGCTGAACTTCAAGGGAGTCCCTGACCATTAGGCGAAGAGTGGAAGAGTCAGCTCACCTATGCTGGTGGGGGTCCCTCTCCCAGCCCTCATTGCTAACCTGATTTTCTCCAGTGGAGGCCACTGTGTTAGACAGCCTCTCCATTCCTCCTCATCTTGCCCTGTCCAGCATAACGACCTCCCTCAGCTACATCAAGGGGGAAGCTCTTGATGCTCTGAGCCTCACTTACTTTTTCCATAAAATGGTGATTCTGTAAAATGGCTCTGCAATAACCATCTTTACCCCACCCCCAACTCTAGATCTGTCAGGAGTCTGCCTCATGCACCCCCTCATTCATTCACTTAGCTAACAAATTCTTCTGGAGAACCTTTTCCCCACCTGCCTGCAAGACGTGAGCACCCATTACCCACTGCTCCATCCCATGTCTCACCAGATAACTTGGAGACCAGACGAGGGTCCCTGCAGGCAGGGAGTCTTAAGCAGGACCCATACACTCCCTAAAACTGCAGACAAAATTTTGAGGATGGCTCATATGTGTATTTTTTTAAGAGACAGTCCATATTTTCATCGGGTTCTCAAAAGTGTCCATGAAGCCATTTTGCTCCTCCCCACCACAAACACCCCTCTCCTTTTTGTCCTCTCACTGAACTCAAATATTCTCAGATGTTCAGCTTCTGTTACATCAGATTTTCAGAAAACACTTTTAACTGCATCCTGTGTCTGAGGCACTGTCATCCCATTTTACAGATGAGGATTCGAGGCTACCGGTGACATGACTTGCCCAAGGTCACCGCTAGTAAGTAGAGAAGCAAGACTGGAACCTGATTCTGACTCCCAATTTGGCACTGTCTGGGGAACTCTCACCCAAACCCTCTAGCTACCCCACCTGTTGGTGGATTGGCTTCCTCACCGCAGAAACATATCTGGAGCCCTCATGTTCCCTCTGCCTGGTCCCAGGGCCCCAAAGGGCAGGTTTCCCTACATTTCCCCGCCCCTCGGGCTCTGGCTGAGGCTGCGCGCAGGCCCGGGAGCGCGAGGTTCAGGCCGCTAGATGGTGGGCGGGTTCAGCCCACCCAGAAGGGCTACTCCAGGGACAAGAGCACCCAAGGTCCGGGCACATTTCGGGGGTGGGGGGGAGCGGCGCCGCCCCACGCCTCCCTCCCGAAACAGCGGAGAGGAGAGGGGAGGAAAGGCCGCACCCGGCCAGTTTCCCCGCGGTCCGCCCCAGTCTGATAGGAACCAGGAGTCTGGAGCCCCAGCCTCTGGGGGGAAGGGGAGGAGAGCCAAATGAGGACGCTCAAGGCCTTGGGCGCAGGGCGGGGGTCTTGGGCAGGGAGCCTCTGGATGCAGGCAAGACAAAGATGGAGAGGTAAGGTCTGCGCTCCACCTCCAACGTCCGGGGGCGCGTCGGAGCCCCAGGGGAGAGGCAGCCAAAGCCCCGGGGCTCGAGGTGTGGGCACGACAGGAGGGAGGCTCAGGGAGGGTGGCAGGTCGGATCCAGGGACAAGACAGAGGGCATCCAATAGGCTCAGGTGAGTAAACAGAGCTGGTCCAGACAACCCTAAGGGCCCACCTGCGGGAAAGGGGTGAATGCAGAGGAGCCACGGGTCCCTGGGGGCGGCTGGAGGCTCCAAGGCGCCGCATGCTCTAGACCTTGGGGCCCCGTGGGTGGGGGCGTATCCCAAGCAGGGCTGGCGGTAGGGAGGAGAGAGTGGCCCCCTCTCAGGCGCACCGGGTTGGGCAGGGGGCCTCCGGCCCTGACTCACGGGACCCCACCCCGGGGATGGGGGCGGGCCGCGCGCTTACCCGCGTCCTCGTCGTCGAAGGAGTTCATGCACGGGAAGTAGATGGCGAGCGCCTCGAAGGAGGCGGACAGGCTGAGGCGGCTCTGCGAGCGCTCCATGCCCGCGCCGGCCCCGGGCGCCTCGGCCGCCGCGGC